AAATTTATACACAATACATTTTTTATCACATTCAAAAGCCTAAAACAGAACTCAGTTTTTATATTTAAAGCACATAGATGCACATCAGCAAAATATACATAACAGAATCAACACTTACCACTCTGCAAAAGATTGTTAAACAGAAGTAGAAAAAACATAGGAAATATTCAGGTACTCCAAAATGAATGCAATAACTTAATGTTAAAAAAATTACACTGCAAAATTTTCAAATCTTATATTTTCACAATAATTACATATTCAAAAATCTAAAGCTATATAAATAGCAACTGTTTAATTTAAAAATTTTTATAACAAAACATTTTAGTTTATAAATAAACATTTTAGTTATGAATTTTTCATATGACGGAAAAGTAACTTAACTTCTATACATTATATTGTAATACAGCTAAAAATTTCATACACTGCTGAAAGGTTTAAAACAGTGTTTCTTTACACTCATCAAACTGAACAACTCCTGAACCCAGGAAAGCATTAGATGGATGAATCCTAAAATAAACCATAAACTGTATTTTCTACAAAATACTTTCTATATTATATTTTTTCTAAAAAACACTTACATTAAGGAAATTCATATTATTTTATTTTAGCAAACTTTAATTTTTGTACTTTGCATTAAAACACATAAAAATAAAGAACAATAATTTAATAAATTATTTTTAACCCTTTCAGGACTGGTGTCCCATATACGCATTCTCTAAGAATGTCTCTTACAGCCGGGCATCCCATCCATGCATCACTAGAGATTGCAATCAGAGGACGGGTGATGCGTATACGCATTTTGAGCTGGAATGCATTTCTGAAGGCCACTAGATGACATCCCATGTCCATTACTTTTGAAATGAACACAGTTTTAGGTTCCTGACCTTGAGTTTGATATAGTCTGTCTGACTTTGGTATTTTATTCATCAACTGTTACGAGGGTGAGGATGGGGAGGGAAAGCGTAAACAGAGGTGGGTTCTTTAAATTGCCCCGTGCTAATATAAATATTCGCATGTCTGATTTATATCCCCTTTTTTTTTTTTTTTTTTTTTTTTTTTTTTTTTTTTTTTTTTTTTTTTTTTTTTTTTTTTTTTTCCCTATATGGTCTTTTAGAGTTACTATGTGGAATTTTGTTACGTTTTGCATTGCCTTCAGATATATTTCTGTTTCTTCTCTTTTTATTTCAGAAAGCTTCACCTCCAGTCTATTATGGGCGGAAGGCACTTTTATATCAGAGGAGAGAATACCCTCGTATATGGTTAATGAACCATTTACTAATGCAGATGAGAGTGATGATTCTCTTTCTAAAGAGTTAGAAAGTGATATTCTTCTACTTTGCTTCTTCTTCTACCAGCTCTCAGTCTTCATTTTAAATTTTTTTCTCACTACTCTTCTTATTGAAATAGTCTTTATTTAATGTGTTGTTTTTAGTAATTTTAAACTTTAAATTTTAAAAATTTTAAACTTTTGAGGATTTTTTTATCAATCAAAAAAACTTAATTGAATAGCGCTTCCCGAAAATTATTTTATAAGATAAGGAAATTTCTAAGTATATTTTCATATAAAATAAAGAAAAAAAAAGTTATTAAGTGCTAATTTTAACATATATAAAAGCTCAAGTAATAATCTAAAATGATACCAAAAATTACGATGCTAGAAGCGAAACTTTTCTTTCTGATTTTTTTTTTTTTAAAAAAATTAGGCTTAGCGATGCAAAACCTCTGTCCTGTACAGTGACTGCCTTTGATTCCCTTCCGTCCCGCACGAGCATCTTAAACAAAGGTGCGCCATCATGAAAAGCTTAAAGTAAATTTTCAGACACAAATGCACAAGCAAGCATAAGTACTTTTTACTTTAGTAGAAAATGACATAAAAAATTATAAATCTTGAATTTAAATATTCCAGACAATTTTTTTCATATGACAGTCAAATTACTAATAGGACAAAACATTATGAAAATGGCATAAAAACTAGAGAAATTAAGACACTGCTGATGCTATTTACAAGGAGATTATGTGGCAAACACTAGCAGCAATTCAAAAATTATAATCCCAATTTTGCACTCATATTAATGTTATTAAATTCTATTCCTTGCTCTCGTCCAATATTGCAATCACTATCTTCATTAACTCAAGAGACTTTATGTTTCTAAATTTTCTTTCTGGTAATTTTTACACATACATGCATAAAATACAGTGAACCCTCTCGTTAAAGAAGTTTTTTAGAAGTTATACAATGAAACATTTCACCTCTCTTAATGACTATCTGAAAGCCAGTGGTTCTACTTTTTCTCCTGGTAATTTTGATTCATAAATACAGAAAATATAATGTACCCTCTCTAGATGATCATTCAGAGCCTTTTTAAATGCTTATTCCTGGTTGTTTTCACTTATAAATGCAGAAACTACAGTACCTCTCTTACAATATTAGAGCCTTTTTAATTTTTCTTTCTTGTAATTTTCACTTATAAATACAGAAAATTCAACGAACCCTGTATTAATGATCATATTACAGCCTTTTCAATTTTCCTCTATGGTCATTTTTACTTATAAATGCTGAAAATACAACAAATCCCTCTTTTGATGATCACATTAGAGGTCGGTACTCTTCTATAATCGGGACCGGATTCAGAAATGTTTGTATGGATGTAGGCATGCATATATGTATGTGTATGCATAGATGCATACATATACTTCTGAATATGGCCTCAATAACAGAAGAGAACCAATTTTTCTTCTCCATATTTTCACTCATGAATGCTAAAAAATACAAGGAACCCTCTTCTGATAACTTAACAGCTTCAAGTTTTATTTCTGTTCTACCTAGCAATTTTCATTCATAAATGCACAAAATACAAAGAACTCTCTTGTGATGACCACCTTAGAAAGTGATAACTATTTCACACAACATAAACAAACATCATCATTATAAAATGACTTCCTTCACAGAAAGCAAACATGTATTTGGAACTAAGAGTTATTGTTTTAAAAACGTTCACTGTATATCAATTACTAATATGATATTTTGTGATATTAATGATATCCTTTGAAAAAAGAGGACAGATTTATTTAGTAACAACTGTTTTTTAATTATTTTTTTCTATGCATTAAAATCACTGTTTATGTGCATGTAAAAAATAATTTCATTTTTAATTGTCACCATGATCACAATAATCATATCACTTTTATACCTGAACATGTACTTCACTTATTAAACTTGACATTTCAAACCTTCAAGCATTTATATGCTTAAATAATAAAGAACACATTAATGCTGAGTATTGATTTTAAAAGCCCACATCATTATCAACCTAAAAACATAATTAAAATTATACTGAGCTGTGAAAAAAATTAGGGCACCTACATAATAATCCAGTCTAACATCTATCCATAACAAAGCAATTGTAATTTAAGAAACACTGCTTTAAACACTAAATAATAATGTATTATTTAGCATGAGGGAGAGAAACCATTTATATTAAAAGGTATCATTTTATTTTAAGATAGCTACTATAAGCTGAAATCAGCCACATGCTGAAAATATTTATAAATTTTCAAAAGCACAAAAAAAAAAAAAAAAAAAAGAATGATATATAAATTTATTAAAAACTTTTATGAATTTGGCATTAATATAAATAAAAGAGGCCATCATAAGTATATAAAAAAAAGTAGCAGAATTCCAAACTCCTGGTACATGGAATAATAATTGAAATGTTCATAAAAAGAGCATGACAAACATTATGTGATCAATGTTTAAAATCCTTTTAAAATTTAATAGCAGATAAATTCATTAATGGTTTTCATTAAATAAACCTATTAATGATACTAGAATCTTTGAAATTCAGACGAGAATTTCAAATAAACAAAATTCTTTAAAAAAATCTAGAAATAAGAATTAATTAGAAAAGATACTTAAAAATAGCATTAAAAATTTAATTTGGACATCTTGACTTCCTTGTACTGTCTATTAAATAACACACTTTTTTTATGCTCTTTGTTTAAACTTATTTCATCAAACCCTCTAAGCAAGTAGAAAATGACATAAAAAATTATAAATCTTGAATTTAAATATCCCAGACAATTTTTTTCATATGAGAGTCAAACTTCTTGCATTTTTACTTTTTCATAAAGATTATAAAAGTTTCTCAAATATAAGTATATAACAGAAAGACTGCACTAAAAGTTAGATTTTGTTATTTGTCCAATTTTTATTTATTTTTAATTTGACATTTCTAAAAACAAGAGCAAAATAACTATTGTGCTGTTAACAAAAAAAAAAAAAAAAAAAAAACTAAATCAAGAATTCTGGATTATTCTGCTCTGCTGAGATGCCAAATTCATGAACTTGGGGGGGGGGAGAGGAAAGAACTATAGGAACATTAATTTTGACATGCTCAGATAATAATTATGTACAAAACTTTGATATTCTTGTTTAATTCTTAGTAATTAAAAATAGTACTCGTCTGTTATCAGAACTGGATAAAGAAATGCTTGCATGTATGCATGTACGTATGAGAATATATGTGTGTGTATACATATATATATATATATATATATACATATCTATATATGAACACATACATTCATACATTACCCGGTCCAGATAACAGAAGAATACTTTAAGACATTACTTGCAAATACTACTTGAACCTTCCTTTTTCCATGTACAATTAAAACATATAAAAAATAATATATATCTTGAATAACATATTACGGTCTTTGACTAAAAAATTAGCTGGTATTTGAACAAAAACAAAATATACAAACTTACAAATCCAATAATTTTTTTGAATTACATAAACAACCAGGATACCTATGACAGAACAAGTTAATTGCACTTCAGTTAAGTTATCACTGATTATTAAGTCCATCACATTGAATGAAAGTACCACTTAAAACTTTATCACATTTCATAGCATTGCATGCAGAAAAGTTTTTTTAAAAAAACTAAGAATTTAAAAAAAAAAAAAAAAAAAACTAAGAAAATAAAAATTGCATACAGAAATCAAATATATCGATCCAGATCCAGCTAGCACTTCACTGCAGAAATTTACATTTAAACCATCTTGATTTCACTGAGAAGAAATATTAAATTGTTTATTAAGTCAGAAAATATCAGAGTCAATATATAAACCATATATGGAAACATTTCATGCTATTAAAAGAAAAAGAGCATTATTTACATTTAAAAAAAAAAAAAAACTTTGGTACAATCTTCAAAGATGCAGACATTATATTGAAAAGAGAAAAAAAAAAAAAAAAAAAAAAAAAAGGTGAGAGGTAAACACGTGAGGAGGAAAGTCATGTTAATAAAAATTATGGGATGTGACCGAAAAGAAACGCTCGTACTTAGAATAAATCACAGACGGTTTATTATCACTTTTAAACAGCTCTCGTCGAACTTAATGCTGTTTTCGCTTTCTTGATCTTTTTTGAGCCTTTTTCAGATTTTGTATCACGGTGAGTATCACAAGGAGACGCTGCTGCTTTCGTTTTATTAGGCAATTCTGCCAGAAGTTCGCTCATTTTGTATTTCATGCATCCCCCAAGACGAAATGAACCGGCAGCTCCTTTACCTTTCGTCTGAATCAGAGTTCCTGATGCAACTGCCATTAACAAGTACTTTTTAATGTAAGCCGACATCTTCTTCTCTTCGACGTTAAAAGAAGTGGATATATATTTTTTAATAGCCTGCAACGAAGAACCATTGCGTTCATTTAAAATAGCAATTGCAAGTAACACCATTTCAGAAACTTTGGGATGTTTAGCGACAGAACTAGTCGTGTTGTTATTAACAGCAGTTTTCATTTTTAAATTCATTTTTTAAACAACGTGATCATTCACCACAATAATTACGTTCTTTCTAGCAACAAGCTGCAATGCACACAATAGACTGTTTGTTTATATATCTGAGTTGAGTTCTATTCCTTCTGCGAAAGTTAAGAAATTTATGAGGCTATACTATCCCTGTTCTATACTTATCTATTATAACTACCAGCCAAACAAAAATTACTTATCCTCCTTTAAAAAATTCCTCCTTTAAATTACTCATCCTCCGCGCATCTTTTTTCTGAGTTATTTTCCGATGAAGTGGAAACACGCTACCATTATTCTTATCCCCAAACCCTGGAAAGATCGCGCTCACATGAGAAATTATCGACCGTTTAGCTTGTTCCCGTCACTCGGAAGAAATTTTGAAAGAACTTTGTATAAACTCCTGGATCCAATACTGAGCTCCTTTAAGGCGGTTTGTTAATAAATGTCTGCCTATAGAAGAAATTCAGTTCTCCCTCATCCTAACAACTGCATCAAATCTCTTAGATGTTCTCCATTTCCCAGAGAAAAGCACAAATATCCATCTGACATTCTCCATCCTTAACATTTTTTACTCATATTAGATTCTTCAGTTCACTGATTTGGACCTTCGACCACAAACTCACCTTATTTGTCAACTGATGGCGGCCACTTGACTTTTACTTTCGTCTTTTTGTTTTACCATGTTCTTCACCTGATACAGAGTATAAGGAAGCGCTGCTTTATCAAACTCAAATTCGCTATATGTTCTTAGCTTGATGCAGACTGATTCATTTAAGCACTTCGTTCAAGTGAACGAAGGCGTAAAAATGTGTAAGTGAAGAATCAAAACATAGAGAAAAGAGGAAATAATATCAATGCAGGTGTCTGCATCATTTCCAAGCAGCATTCGCTGCAGTAAGTACTTGGGTGGAGGATCACCCACGTGAGTGGCGGCAAATCAATAATTTTCGACTTCTTAATTTTGAGGCTATGTTGCTATACGTAATTCTTATAAATTAATTTTCTGTTTTTGCATTCCTTTTCATCACATGGCTCTTATGACTCTTCACGATTTCCTTGTTCTCACACTCCCCAAATTCCACTGTACAATAAAATTCGCAGGGTGGGGGGAGAGGGAGAAATCTTAAAAAACAGTTATAGTTTGCAGTTTACCTAGTTTTTTTCGGCGGTAAATTCAAGGAAGTTAACCTCCTAATTCTCCTTGGGTAAATTATGTGAGGTTTCTAATTTATTGAGGTGCAGTTAATAGCGTGATAGAATTCCTGGTGACACCAATTTAAATATAAATATCAAAGCACAAGACACTTTTTCAAAAATTTTCAAATTTAAGAAATTAGAGTTAAAATAAGGGCATACGATATATATCGGAGAATTAACATTCTGAATCATTCTAACAAAATGTTGCTATTCTAACAGAATGTTGCTAAAAGAAAAGGTTTTTCATTGCAGTTTGATCCCTTCTTAATTATTAAAATGAAAAGAAAGATTTTTCTAAATCATCTATACATGAAAAAAAAAAAAAAAAAAAAACGTAAAATAACACTTTTTTATTAATCGTATCAATGAACTGATTATCTTGCAAACTATTTCCAAAAAAATATTGGCATTTTCCTAAAATGGCGGCAGAAGCTGAAAATTTGGCGAAAGTGTTTTGATTATAATATTTTGTATTCATTTCAAGTTTCTGGAAAATATAACAAAAATTTGAGCGTTGTAAATTATGATATTTATAATCTGATGTAATTTTCATTTTATTATTAATTTTAATTCTATAGAAATGATATATATATATTTTCTCTTATTATGAATTGAAAATATTCGATAGAGAGGAAAAAATTGAAGATTTTTTGTATTAAATATTGGACTTTTGTCTCTTCTCTGCGTATGATATATAATCACGATACAGCTATAACGTGTCAGTAAATTTTTGATTAAGTCTACAAAACTGCTTGTAAGTGTTGTCTAGTATTTAAGTGTGTTATATCGTGTGATACGTAATGAATACACTATTAAAAAGAACTACTTTTCAGTCTATGTTATGATCATCACCGTTATTATATATCATGACACACATTTCTTTGTGGCCATTTGTGCATTTTGGCCATTTGTGTGCATAGTTCTCGTATTAAATATTAAAACATAAGACTATTTTTTTTTTTTTTTTTTTTTTTTTTTTTCTATTTGAGGTCTTTCTTATTACAAAATAAATGTCTTCATAGTATTCCTCGTAATAAAATAATTTATTCAAAACATACTAATCAATATCACATAATAATGTTAAGATGTTTTTACCATAATTGTTTATATAAAAATTCAGTACAAGAATCTGCATCTGGAAATTTTTATTTGTTTAGCAACTTGTTTAACATATTATGGAGGCATAATAGTCTGAGGATGTTTCACTGCCTCTGAGATGAGAAATTTTGTTTTTATAGGAAATAAAATGGATCGATATGAATATATAATGAAAACCTGAAAGCATCTCCAAGAAAACTTGAAATACAAAATATGGTCAAATTCTTTCAGAATAAGGATTCTAAACATAGTTCGAAATGCGTGCTTGTGGTTATAACACAACTTTTCTGAAGTTAACAAAACTCTTCCATATTTTCTGGACTTAAATCCTATCAAACGTGTATGGAGTGTATTGAAGAAAAGAATAGGGCAACATGATATGTTTTTGAAAGCTCTTCTAAAAGTAATAGAGAAATAGTACAAAATGGAATAATCTTACCTGAAAAAAATTAGTTGAATTCATTCTTAAGTGCATGAAAAGTGTCATTTTTGCTAAAGGATAACTAACAAAATATTTTATGTTCAACCCCACACTTTTCGGTGTTCTAAAAACTAGGCAAAGCAGGTGTGACATCCAGTGTAGGAGAAATTAGGATAAAATAAGCAAATTTTAGAGCAGTATATGGCATTCATTGTATATGGTGTAGGTGACAGTTAAACCAGACATTGTAAGGTAGTTCTTTGATTCCATTCAAATTCCTTAAATTTTCAGTCAAAGGTCTAAGGCTGATAGTATGACAGAAATTTTCCCAATTCAGGGAAAGAGGAAGTAGTGAATCTTACAAGTTGATTCATCTCTTAGAAAATGAAAATTTTTTAATCGTATATTTTTTTCTCTTTTTCATTCTTTTTTCCTTTCCTTTTTCTTTTCTTTCTTTCTTTCTTTCTTTTTTCTTTCTTTTTTAGTTTAAATTTCCACCTACCGTATGGAGGTTTTGCATTCTTTGGTCTTTTGAAAGGCATGGGACATTTTTTTGCAAAATATATGAAACCTTTCTTTTGCAATTATGAATTTGCAGCGGCATCACCAAACAGGCAATACGAACTCTAAACTGTGTAGAAAACTGCCATGGCGAAAGACTAAACCTGTATGACAATCTTACAGGTGACAGAGAGAGATGAGTTTTTCTCCGGCAGTCTGTGCTTCAGCAGGATATGTGAACCTCGGCACCGTGTCTGTGTTGGGGCCGTGCTCTGTCCTTCTTAAGCCGTTATAATATAATATATCCAACTATGTTATTTTATCTCATTAAATTTCACGATTAATTGCTATATGTCTATCTTAATTAAGATTGCTGTTTTTCTAGTTAATTATATTGAGGCTTTCTTAGGCACACGTTGCCCACGCGTACTCCACTGGTGACCCTGTCTCTTGCTCCTTCTATTTCAAATTTCTAATGGCTGTCTATCTCAGTTTTTGTATTAAAACTAACGCCATGCCTTATTTTGATGAGACTGCTCTTTTTTGTGAGTGATTAATGCTACATCCTATTTATTTTAATTTCCTTCTTATATTATCATAAATAATATCATGTAGGTTATCACACTGTTAAGGATGATTAACAGCTATGTGGGTGCAATTTTTTTTTCTCTCCGTGATCGGTCTTAATACATTTTTGTGATGCATTTTGCTCTAAAATTCTAGTTTTAATTTAAACTAAATTATTCATTGTTTAAAATTGATTCGTGTGTAATATTTGTGCTCACAATTTTATTGAGATATTGAATGATTTCATTTTGATTATGATATGTAAGTCCTAAATAATAGTGCAAATCATTAAGTCAACTATTTATAATATATTTATAATTGTTAACCATGCCAGGATCAGAAGTCCAATTTAACGCAGTGGCACCAGAGCCACAAATCTTGCGTGTTGCGGTCAAAATTCCACCTTTATGTAAGAATAATGTTAAACTGTAGTTTATTCAAGTTGAAAGTAACTTTACTCTGGTGAAGATTAGTAGCGATATTACAAAATATAATCATCTGATTTTTTTCAAAGACTCTGAAACTCTTTCCACGGTATGAGATATTTTATTCCTTCCCCCCCCCAGCAACAGATAAATATAATGCTCTAAAAGCCAGGTTAATAGTGGAATTCTTGGATTTGGAAAACGAGCAAATATGCAGGCTTATTTATGAACTGCATTTAGGGAATGACAAACCACCTCTCATATTGAGAAAAATTCATTCGTGATTTAGTAATAATGCACGAAAATCCCGAGCACCTTGTTCTTTTTCTGTGAATACTACAGACCAGGAAAACTATTAGTAGTGGCTGTCGATCAAAACTTGTTGACAGTCTCACATTATCATTTCGTTTACATGTTTACGATAATAGATTAAATTAAAAATTTTTGATTGATTCTTGCTCGGATGTATCATGCGTCCCACTGACTTCTAAATTAAAGAAAATTCATTCTGATTCTCTACAATTATTTGCCGTGAATAATTCCAGAATTTCTACATACAGAACAAAATTATTAAATGTGAATTTAGGACTCGGCCAAAACTTTTCTGGGACATTTTAAATCATCGATGTACCAAAGACTACAATAGGAGCCGATTTTTTAAGACATTTTGATCTTTTAATTGATTTAAAACGAGGTAGGCTTATTGATAATAATATGAAATTAACTGGTTCTATTTCCAATTTTGAAAATTATTTTTAGGTAAAGCTAATCTATGATTTATCACATCACAGGGTCTTGAAAGACTTTCCGGACTTATTGAAATTAAAAATCTGAT